ATTACAAGTGAAGATCTGTATCTGGAGTATTTTAACAAATTGGACACAATCACTATTCTTCTTACAAATTTGCTTACATTTGTTTAAACTTTTTGCTCTCAATGACTTTAACCTGTACCTCTGTTTTGTTTCACTTTTGGGTGAGTCTGACCCTGTTATTTGTTGCAACAACACAAATAAATGCAGTGTGCTTCACTGCAGGGTTGTTTTAAAAGGATTATGTTGTTAAAAGGAGACTGGCCTCTCTTTTAGAGACCATCTGGTAAAGTCCTTCTGTAGACTGTTACACGTCCCTGTGCAGCCCTAGCGAGGCAATCTGCCACCCAGTTTTAAAATGGGTTCAAGTGTGTCCATAAAGTTAGTAGGAGGGACAAACACGTTCCAGCTTTAATTTTCCTTCCAATATCAAGTTTTGTTGTTTGTGCTCCTCAAATGAAGCAAATAGGTTGGTTCAATTATCTGCAGTTTTATACCAACACAATCTTTCTAATATAGATAATGGTGACAAACTTGGTAAAGGGAATTACAGTAGTTTCTGTACATATTTATGCCAGTAGATAACCGACAGGAGCCAACCTTAACACTAGAACTGTCAATAACTTTTAAAGACCACATTCTAAAGAAAGATTTGCACTGCTTTGTATTATATTTGGTTCACTAAAGCTGCTGCGGAAAACACGAACCCTTGTATATTGCAACAGACAGGTATTTCATCTGTTAACAGGACATCAAAAACAGAATGGCATGCAAGAATTCTTGTTAATGAGCTGTGAAAGAGGAAATCTGCAAAGGATTAGTGGGGATAAAACAGCTTTTAATGAGTTTCTATTTATGTGTGTCACATTAAGGTGGACAGCGTGTTCTGACCCTCTGCACCCTGGATTTCATGTGAGACAGATGCTCAGTAACAGATTGTGAATCTCTGTCATCAGCCAAGCAAGTGACAACCAATCTTTCACCTGTCTAACCTGGACTAGCATGCAGTCACGACCAGTTTCTCATCTGGTGTGGAAACTGGATCTGCAAACTGAAAACCACTTATTACTTAAATAGATCACAGTCTTTAACCAATATTTACAAGTATCTATCAAGTATTTCATGTTATATCTGATAATGGTAATTTAATTACAGGACCAGACTAAATGCCACATACTATGTTTTTTTTAATTACCTGCGTGAGGGCACACACCACTGTGGGATGTTAGTGTCTGGCGGAGCACTCAGGACCCAGCATGACCCACTTCTTCCACTGTCTGAACACCTGAACAGCACTAGCACATTACCATGCACCAGTGCACTCTGGGAAAGCAGAAGCTGGTACAACACTGTGAGGATGCATCTACAGAAAAAACAGAAAGTCAAGACTGCTGTTTGACACATGAAATAAACCCAAGCTATGTGTGAAAAGGGTCTTTGTTCACGTTTTCATCTTAGGCAGAGACGAACTACACACAAAAAGTGTCTTATTTTGTCTCTTATTAAAAAAGAAGGTTGTGTTTTGTTTCACATATGTTTAGTATGATGATGATTAAGTAGCATCATATTAGGACAAGTTTTACTGGCTCAGCTCATCCAGGATCAGTCCTGGTGAAGAATGATCACAGAGAGCAGTGTCATTCAAGTGGGATGAAAAATGGTACTTGTCCTTCCACATCTGTCAGAGCCGTTCATATTCATCTGATTCAGAAGGAATTAGAATAAAAATGCAATTATGTTTGTTCAAGTGCTTGTACAAACAAAATGGACCAGGTAAGTGATACCACAGAGGCCAGTGCAGGCTGAAGCTTTTTTTAGGAGCTGAGAGTGACCCAGACAGCACAAAACACCAGGGGGAGAAATAGGAGGGAGGGAGGGGTGAGAAAGGGACAGGGAGGGAGGAATATAAATGAGACTGGAGTGAAGGAAAAGTACTGGGCGGATGTGGCGGTGCGGATGCAGAATGCATGAGCACATGAGAGCGAAGGTGGGTGTAGGAGAGCACAAAAGAAAGCAGGGGCTGCACAGCAGCAGGGAGACAATGTGAAGTTAGAGATACTGAAGGTGAACAGCAGGGAGGAGCAGAAATGTAGGTGCTGACGTCAGACACCAAGTACCGTGTAATACAACCAAAAAAGAGGCTAGATGAAGAAAATATTTCAGGGAGAGAGTCTCTATAATGAGCGATAAGAAACTGAGCAGAGGCATCGTGACAGGGGAGAGATAGAAAAGGTGTTGCTGATAAAAATATGATCAAGAGCAAAAAATCTGTAAAGCACAGTCATGCCTGGAGAGACTGCTAAAAATAAAAATGTTTAAATTAAAACCTGACATAAAATACAGACACTCAAGCTGTGCTGGTGTTCAGTTTGCACTTCAGCTGAGTTTGCTTGCCATGGTACTGCAGCTGCATTGCATGGCGGTGTCCACTCTGTACATCTGGTGCTGAACAAACAAGAACCAAGAGCAAATCTCTGGAGTTTTACCTAACCACAAAATCTGCAGATTATCACAGTGCAAGTGAAGCTGAAAATAAGTGTATAAAATAAACCCAGGCACCAACAAAATGACCCAGAGTCAATGACAGCAGTACAAAAGCTGCAGCTTCTCCAACCCAGATGGGACTATTCAGTCATCTGCTAACCAGAGAGGGTAGCAGCACTGGTGTGCCAACAGTCCCACAGGCCTGCAAGGCTGCTAATGCAGGCTTAATAAAACCTGGAAAATTCTGCGAGTGTATTATTGCTGTCCAATTAGCAGACGGCCTGCAGCAGCTGAGGCTGTAAAGCCTTGGCAAAGGGAACGGAACTTAAGTACTAGCTGTGGATTGTTTATTTACACTGACTTCCCCCCTGGGCATGCACTGTAAGGTTATGCTGCACAGATTTACATGCATTTTAATTTAATTTTATCTTATTTTATTTTACCAGATGTGGACCTAAATAGAGTGGCACTGTGCTGTGTCCTACGGTTTTATCCCACAGATTTCTTGTCAGACATTATCTCCCATGCAACAAAGTGCCAAAAAGTGTAAAGCCAAAGCAGGGTGAGAAAACACAGATAATCTTTAATGACCTGTGCAGTTCAAAAACCTGCTAAAACAACAGGGAAACTGTAGCATCTAGAAGGGAGAGGAGATATACTGTATCTGTATAGGACCCAGTGACTTGTGATTTAGATGAAAGAAAACATCATTTCCCTCTGTCTCTTCTAGGATGTCAAAGGAACTTAAGAGGCTGCACTTTAGGCAACTGAGCAGGGAAATAAACCCAATAGGTCAAATGTATGTGGATGTTTGAAATGCATTTGTTGTTTTCTAATAAAGCGATGTGTCAGAGGAGAGCAGAAAGGAGAATGCAGGGATGAAATGGAGCCTGTCATATGAGCCAGAGGTTGCTGTGGCAACTGCTCCCAGTAGTCAAATCAAAGAAGGTGCGTCAAACACGTCACAGAACGAGGTCCAGCTGTGGAAAAAGGAAGAACGGCTCAGACCCAGAGCTTGTCTCAAAACAACACTGCACAGCAGCATAAATGCAGAGAATATGAGACATGAACTATAATTCAAATGTAATGTGCAGTAGAGATCAGATTTTACTATTTGAAGCCAAGTGTTTAAATTGTATTTAGGCTTGTTAAACAGGATTTTGTTCCCACAGAGTTTCTTCATCAACACTGAAGCCAAACTCTATAAAAAAATAGATGTAGTTGATAATGTCACAGAAAAGAATAAGCATCCAGAAGCACCTCTATAAAAAAAAAATTGATGTAGTTGATAATGACACAGAAAAGAATAAGCATCCAGAAGCAAGTGAGGAAACACATCTGATTAAAATAACTAAGGTGGCAGACATGGGGATGGATGAAGGACTAAATTAATTCGTAAGGTCAAAATGAAAAATGGCCACTCGATGATATCTTCCTCCACTGACTTGGTGGTATTAAAGAATCCTCTGGCAGACAGTGCATGATTTATGGTCCCCTGGGTGAGTGTTTCTGCTGCATTCACATCATGTTTCCACTGTCTCAACAGAGACATGACCACCCAGCACAAGTCCATAGATTTACACTTTGACCAGGAAGATAAAGCTATTAGTCAGACGTTACCGGCTCACTGACATAAAAATCCTCTATGAAGAGCTTTATGTATATTCAATTAGAGAATGAATTTCTGTCCAAAAGATGCTTTGTTTGACTTTTACATCAACGTAATGGTTCCCTACAAATTTATGAGAAGGTAAGTATTATTGTAACACCTGGTAAGTTGTAACACTGCTAGTATGACCAGTCAGAAAAGAGCTGTGGTGATGATACCACTATCAAAATCTTCAATTTTCTTTGTGAGCTGACAGGAGAAGTGACATGTCTCTGTGAGCAACACTGTGAATTTTAATTAAAACATTTTTATCAAGATTATTTTACCTTGTTTTCATTGTATTGTAGATACAATGGTTTGACTTATATAACTGAAAGCAGTTTAATTGATGCTTTACATTCATGCTAACGTCAAACCCATGCACGTGTTATGTGTTAGCTCTTAATGGCTGCTTGGGGTGGGGATGGTTGTAACAGTGCATCTTCACATGACCACCCCTTTATCCCCTGAAGCCCAGTGACCAAGAGATTCTGACACTTATGATGATGAGAATCTCTGCATTGTGTGCATGAACAGTTTGCGAACTCAAGACTAAGAAGTGTGGGTCAAGTAGGTCAAGTAAGTAGTTCAGGGCTCACAAACCCTGCAGCTCAGGGGCAGCTGTCTATCACAGTGTCACATCTGTGACAGTGATTGAACCTTTATTGTTAGGCATGCACATTCTGAAATACAGAATACCTTGACTACTCCTGATAACTATAAGTTCAGTAGTAATTTTAGCCCAAAAGGTTTTATTTCTGTTGAGCTGCTGCTGAGATATATTAATAGTAATTAATGTGGAACTTCATATTAAAATAACTTTAGCTTCAGCCCGGAAGTCTGTTGGAATAGTGTAAGCACGAGATTTCCTGATAGCTAGTAGGGGCAGGAGGAACAGGGCTGTATTAAGGTAGACTTGGAAAATGCAAATGTCCTAGATATCGATATTTAATCTGTTCTGCTTATGATCACAAAATCTTGACAGGCCAGCGCTGAATGGCTTAAATATTTGATCAATTATGACGAAAGCCGCGTCAAACAGTCACTTCCTCAGGTAGGAGTGTATAACCTTGATGAATCCGTGCACGCTCTTTTTCCACTTTGCAGACAGAGATGCTGTGATGGATAGAAGTCTCTAACCACAACAAGTGGGTGGTAGCTGAGAATTTACCACTGATGATAGAGCGCTTTGTGCGTCATAGTGCGCCTCGGACTCTCCACCCTGCATGTGAAGTGTAGGCAGCGCAGCATGTGATGCTCCGTCCTCCAGTGTCCTGTGAGCGCCCAGCCAGCACCACACCGTCCCGAGGATGCATGCATGACTCTCCAAATACTCTGCGTTCAGAAGAAGCCTTGGATATTGCCGATCACTGCTGAGGACTCGTGGTGAGAAAGAAAATGCTTGTATTTTTATTTGTTGTGCCTTTACTGTGCATCTCGTTTTTTTTTGTGCCACCACCGGGATTTAAAAATGCAGAGTGGTTATTTCTGCAGAAGTTCATAGGCACCTTAAAAATTGTTTTCAATTGCTGTTCGGTGTCATTAACACACACAGCAGCCCTTGTTTTGAATCATGTGATTCGAGGTGCAACTGTGTCCAATGTGCTCTAGTTTTCACAGAGGTCAGGGGATAATCGTTCTCGACCTTGATTGTGCGTTTGAAAGCCACAGCATTAAGCCAGAGGCAAAACAGTGAGCTTCCTCTATCAGCACCAGATGTGTCACTTGTGCTCAGAATATGTGACCTGTGTTGGGGTATTGATTACTGAGGGCATTCAGGAGCTTTCACCACTTGTTCTGTTCAGCTGTATTTTAGATTTGAATGACAAAAGTGCCCGTCAGAGTCAGATCCCAGTGCTGTTCCAGTTCATCCCTATTCTAAATGGTAAGTTACTGTCAGTAAAATGAACACGAGTTGGTTGTTTTTAATACTTTATGATTTTCACTGAAATGACTGATTGCCTGGTTCAGACTCAGACTGGGAATCAAAGAACAAATCTGGGCTTAATACCGACTGATTACTGAAGCTGATATCTACTGTTTTCCTCCTTTTTTGTGTAACCGGAAAGTATGAGAGCCTCAATATTATGTATTCAAATATAAGCCATAGAAACATTATCACAGGCTTCTATCTGATATATGCCCTTGTTTACATGAGGATATGTCTCTTCCCAGAATATTTATGATGGTGTGGCATGTCTGACAGTGAAGACAGTGATGTAGAGTATGTATTCATGGTTAGAGGTGAATAGGACTGGGCTTGGTGCTGGTAAGTTGCCAGTGTTAAATATGATTTGGCAATATTACTTAATTGTGAAAATTACCTCAAGTGTTATTGCATGTGTGAGTATTATCCCTGGTTCTAATGGATGCAATATCCCTGAATGTTTCTGAAATATAATATGCAATATGTACACATACAAACTCCTGAAAATTGAAAGCTTCTTCCCAGGGCAATGGCGTGATCAGCCCAGGGCAAAGAAAACAAACTGACATTACTGTACTGTAATGTGGAATTGACTGACAAGCAGCACCAGGGGCTTTACAGTTAATGCACTCAGGATTATGAGGACTTGTAAATGGCTGTGCATGGATTATTGCATCACAGGCTTCTCTTGACATACACACACAGGAGGAAATCCGCTGTGGGATGAGAAATGAATAAACACAGAAAACAACTACGCATCCTGAGCACAAACACAGTGACTTCCTTTAGAGCTTTTTTGTCTCCTGCAGAAATTCTGAGAAGGTTTGTGTTGTTAGTGTTTGTAGAGAATGTGCTGACAGTAACAGGGTTTGTTTAAGGCTGATGCAAGCAGCGAGGGTTTTGACGATGAAGGCTCGTGTGCAAGTGCAGCATCTTCATGCAACTCCAGTCATTTGCTCCTTCCTTCAGCCAGAACTGTTTCTTCTGTTGGTTACTACCAGCACAGACAATCAGCCCTTGTGTTTATCGATGACGTTTTGGTTTTCTCTTCTCCCTCTTTGCAGTTTTGCTTTTCAGTGCAGATTTTTATTTATTTTTTTACTCTCTTAATAAGAAATGAGCCTACGTGGGAGCTTGTGATGTGGATCAGGCGAACACATGGCAGCACTACATCCAAAACATCATGTTCACGTCATCCATTATGTTTGGGTTGAACCAACCACTCTCTGGCAGAGGGGTAAGGGTGGATGTTGCTGCAAGGCTTGAGAGGATTAGAGGATTTACATGGGGAAAAAAGCTTCACTAAAGTTAAGCTTTGCAGAAGAGGGAAATTAAATAGAAACAATTTGCAGGATTGGGAATATTTTTTTGGAACCAGAAACAATGTCTGAGAGGCAAAGGATTGTGATGGGGTGTTTTTGTGACTGTGGAGAAGAGACATCGTTCATGGTTCTGGGGAGCCATAAAAATGTGTTACAATCCAATGTCTTATTATGAGCCTAACCAAGCACTAAATGGAGGAATAATTGTGTCAGCGAACGTGTGAAGTGTTATTTAAGGATCAAGGCCAGAAAAAGGAGCCTTAAAATTACTGGCCATCAAATGGGCCTTGTCAAGGGCATTTTCTTTTATTTAAAACAGATAATTTATGGAATTTTTGATTATTAATTAACCATTATTGCATTTAAATTTTGAGAAGCTTGAAATATAACGTTCTGTTTAACCTTTCTCTTTGTCTGATGCAGGACTGAGGCCAAGCACTAAAACCCAGCTGTCACTCCTCAGCATCTCCTCTAAAGCTACATCTATCCATCTCCTCTCTCTGCCTGTATCACTTCTTTGTGTTTCCGCTCTTTCTTTCTCTCTCTCTTCCCCCTCCCCTCTTCCCGACCCTCAGCCTCCCTCATGCCTAAGAACAGCAAGGTGACACAGCACGAGCAGAGCAATGAGCACGTCACAGAGTCGGTGGCTGACCTGCTCGGACATGAGGAGCCGTTCGACTACAAGAACAGCTCCCTGACCATCGGGGGGGCCACTGGGAAGAAGGTGCCGCACATAGAGGTACCTGAAAATGATGGGCGTCCTGCCTGGAACAGCAAACTGCAGTACATCCTAGCCCAGGTGGGCTTCTCTGTGGGCCTGGGCAACGTGTGGCGCTTCCCTTACCTGTGCCAAAAGAATGGAGGAGGTGAGTTGGAGGCAACGCTCACTATAAGTTATAAGTGTTGCAGATCAGAAACATTTCATTTACAGTTTCATTATCAGTTACTGTACTTAACTAGACTTTGGAGCAGTGCTCCTTTACTTTCTCAGATGAATTTCTACAGTTAATTCATTTAAAGCTGGAGGTGTGATACTCCCATAATGGTATTGTCAAAAAAGACAGTATAACGAGGAAGGGACACTAAGAAAGAACAACAACTGATGTGTGCATTTAAAGGCTGTTATGATCATATAAAATACAAAACATGGGAACTTTGTGTTTTTTAATGAAGTAGCAGACTATTCATACTGTATTTTTGATTTAGCATTGTACATCTATCATACTGTCAGACTCATGATAAAAAATATCAAAACTTATGCAGCAGAACCAGAGGTAGTTTTTTTTAATTACATACACTTCTTGTTGTAACCTGGCACCTACATTATCCACAATGCATCTGGACTGCCATCAGTTTGGTCCACCTAGCATCAAGTAGAGCTGAGTGAGGGCTACAGAGGTCTGGTAAGCTCCACACCCCCAGATGGTGACATTGTTTGAGGCAATTTATCTGATTCCTTCTCCCGCTGTGCTTTGTCAGCTCTCTCTGAGTGTCAGGCAGCAGGCACTTGCTGATCCTTTCGATAACAAACAGCTGAACAACAGAAAATAGAAGAGTAATCTGACTAATAAGATTTTCCTAATTATAACAGTCTAGTTTGAACTTGTCCTCTTGTTTGCTTAGTGATGCATTGAAAGATCTGAGTCAACATTCTCTTTTATAACAATAACTTTTACTTGTATCACACTTAATGTTCATTCTACTTGTACTTAAAAGCATTAATGAAAGTAGTTTTACCTAAAGTTTCAATATACATCCAACCGAGTCCAACATTTTAGCAGTATTTGCAGTGTTTGACTAAAAGGCTGTACAGTTAATTAACTTTCAGTGTAATTGTATTGGGACATTATGATAAGACCTCATGTTATTGTTTCTGTGATTCAAATCGTTATTATTTAAAAAACACAAAACTGAATGAGCTGCATTGCACTGTTCAGTACAGAACTGCAAAGAGAGCAGCTGTACTGTGCTGAAAGCAACCAAGTCTAAATATAGTTACAGTATTGATTACTGCTGCCGACAAGACAGTCGGGGCTCAACTGATACTCTGGTGAACGGGAATAATAAAGGAATGTAACTGTATAGTGATGAGGTTTTATTTGGTTAGAGGTACTCTACATGTACTGTTAGCTGAGGCGTGCACAGTGTCATCCTGTGCTCAATACAGAGGAAAAAGGCACGTTGTCATCCTGGACTAACAGAGATGCTAATGCTTCCACTGGTGTATTTTCAGCTTTGCCACCTGTGTCATATTTGCTGCATGTACGTCGCATTTATTGCCAGTAGGCAGGATTTACTGCCAGTAGACTCAGTCCCAGACCGATCAGGGTATGTGACCTGGCGCGTGGCCATTTTTCAACGTGTAATTTGCTGTCTGGCAGCCAATTACAGACACATTAAAGGTCTGTGTTGTCAGGAACGTATCGCTGTGTGGGCTCCTTTCTTGTTCTCACTCTCTTCCACATCATGCCTTTTTCTTTTCTCTTTAACATCCTCTATCACCCCACCACCACCACCACCACTGTCACATCTTTATACTCTGACATACTGTATATCATGTCTGTTATGAGCTCCAGTTTAAATAACCTGCTATGGAGCAGATTAGATTAAAACTGATACGAGGATCCTGGCAAGGTATTTACAACTCCTGGGTACATTTAACCTCTCTATCATCTCTATATTTATTTTGGACTCCTCTCTTTCTGCCTCATTAGTCCACCCACTGTGAGATGCGCGTGTCACTGAATGTGGTTTTATAGTAGCACGTGTTTGTCTGCTAAAAGTCTTTGTATCCCGGATGTCGACTCAGCCTTCATATATTAAAAAAGTTGCTTATCCCTCCTTGGATTAAAATGCAAAGGAACAAATTAGACATCCATCAAAATTAAAATGACATTCAAATATATTCTTGAGTGGAGCCGTGATCCTCACATTATCAATGAGGTGAGAGCTTGGTTATGAAGTATTATTTTAGTTAGATTAATGCAAAACTGTTGAATTGTTGTGCTGCACAGATATTAAAACACAAAATAACAAGCAACATGATGTTTTAAAAAATCATACAATATTTATAATACATGTGGAAATGTTATTTCTGTCTGTGGGGCAGTTGTTGGACAAATACAACCACAACAGAAAACATTACAATTCTGGACAGACATCTTTGTTGTTCTGCTGTTTTGATTTGCCAACAAAAAACATAATATTTCCACTAGTCTCTGGAATAAGTGTCCTTTACATTTTAGAAAGGGCACATTTTCCCTTACGCTCCTCACACAGCGAACTGGATACTTCTTTCAGGTGCCTATTTGGTTCCCTACTTCATCCTCCTCCTCCTCATCGGCATCCCGCTCTTCTTCTTGGAGCTGGCAGTGGGTCAGAAAATCCGGCGTGGGAGCATCGGCGTGTGGAACTATGTCTGTCCTCGTCTGGGCGGGATAGGGGTGTCCAGTCTGATGGTAGGGAAACAGGAACTGGTTTTTTATTTTATTGTTCATCATTTCTCATCTCTGTAGCTGTAAGCCTAACACATATTCTTTGGTAATATTGTTCTCCTACACTACAGCTGTCAAAGGCTTTAATGAGGCCTCAGGAAAGCATTTGGAAAAGATGGCAAAAGTGTAGGTCCTCTGATGATCTATCTATCTATCTATCTATCTATCTATCTGTCATGTCTTGGGTAAAAGTAGCCTTTCTTTAGAGCTGCACAGCTATAAATACCTCACAGAAGATCACTGTTTGAAAGAGAGCATTTGAATTATTCATTCAACCTTATTTAGCTTCTGAATATCTTGGCTGGCAAGACTGCTCAGAAGACTGACAGCAAAGCCTGCTGCCCCACTTCTTTCACTGTGTGCAGATGTTATTCTACAATGAAATGTCTTTATATACTTGTAATTTGTGTTATTGTATGTTTGCTGTTTATGCTACCTCTCTCTCTCTCTCTCTGTCTCTCTCCAGGTGTGTGGCTTTGTGGGTCTCTACTATAATGTGATCATTGGTTGGAGCATCTTCTATTTCTTCCAGTCCTTCCAGTATCCTCTGCCATGGAGCGAATGCCCGATCAGAAAGAACGGGACAATGGCTAGTGAGTGGCATTAAATATTACTGTAACTAATAATCAAAGCAGCCTTATTTGTATAGCACCCTCAAAATTCTGCGGCAGTTTACCTTAATTTACTTCTTTACAACAACATTTAAAAATAAAATGAAGAAAGGAACCAATGTACAGCTGAGGCTGATGGGAATGTCATCAGCTTTGCAGGAGATATTTCACTAAAAACCCCAAAAGGTCAACGTGCTGCTGGCACTAGCTGAAATGTCAAGAGCTAATTAAGGTCAGTGCTGTAGAGCTGTATGTAGTTTCATGGCCATCCATCCATCAGTTGTTGAGATATTCCAGTCTGGACCAAAGTGGCAGTCACACTGCTGGACATGAACATACAAGAACTATAAGTTGCCCCAGGTGTATTAAAGGAAATGCAAATGCAGTAAAGATAATTATTTAATAAAAGTCATAGGAAAACAATAGAGCTGTGATTTAGATTTGAACAAAAAAAACATTTGCATGTTATAGGAAGTTGGTTCCACATGTTTTCTGTGCAGCAGTGAGACACCAGAGCTAAACAGAACTACTGCGTTTATCCTTCAAGCATATAAGATGTGCATTTTTGCACGAGGCCATTAAGTGGATTATAATGCAAAACAAATTGTGTTTGTTTGTTTTTTTTTCATTTGGACTCATTATTATCATTCAATATCAAGAGTGTGTACACATTCATGATTACATTGTTTGAAATACAGTGATATCCATTTGTCAGTATCTGGCTCTCACAGTAACGCCTCAATGGGCCACTGTGCTGCAGGGTTCAGGATTACATTCACATTGCATCCAGTCCGCATCAATACATCTAAGCAGATCAGCCAGCATCCAGTCTGCATCAATACATCTAAGCAGATCAGCCAAACTGTTTCTTACACCTTTCTGTTACGACTTCACGGACATGATCCAGATGAAAACCCTCTGGAGTTTTATGCGATTAGTGGTGATAATGACATAACCCCAGTGCAGCCAAGACACACTCAGCATGGCAGGATGAACACAATGCTGGCAGGAAGATGAGGAGCAGAGATTCAGACTCTCGGAGTGAAGGGCAGCAGCAGCAGAGACACTGCAACTCATAGACCTGCAGCCAATGTGATGATGGAACCAGACATGAATTAATAAACAATGAATTTAGCAGAGAACATCTGGTTGTGTGGATTGTGAGTGTGCATCCACACGGGTAAATCTGCACCACACCACAGTGTGAAGAATCATAATACTGCTGACTCTAAACTGCACACAGTATATTTCCCCAGGGTAAGAAGCGAGTACTCTGTGTGTGTGTGTGCACTGAAAAAACATCTCAGGTGATGTGAATTGGAGACTTGTGCTTTGCATACTAAGTACATAGATGGCCTTGTTAAGCTCACTTACATCTGACAGGTGTAGACCAGCTGAGAACTGAGCTATCGACCTCAGTGTTATTATATTTCTTCTCCTGCCCTCACATCTTCCTCTCTATGACACCTAATCCTCCTTGCTGCATCTTCACAGCCTTTTCTTTTCCTTCATACTCAAACTAAACCTCCTTCTCCCCCATCTGCAAAACATACAGTCGTGGAGCCAGAGTGTGACAAAAGCTCAGCCACTACCTACTTCTGGTATCGTCAGACACTAAACACCACCAGCACTATCGCAGAGAGCGGAGGCCTCAACGTCAAAATGACCCTGTCTCTACTGGTGGCGTGGATCATCGTCTGCCTTGCTGTCATTAAAGGAATCGCCTCCTCTGGGAAGGTAGTGGAGAGGAGGAGACACAAATAGATAATATGATTTGAGAAAACTATGAAGAACATCACTGGCTTTGCTTTTCTGAATGTACAGGTGATGTACTTCAGCTCCCTTTTCCCCTATGTGGTGCTGTTCTGTTTCCTTGTCCGGGGTTTAATGCTGAAGGGATCTGTGGATGGTATTGCTCACATGTTCACTCCCAAGGTGAGACCGGAGGAAAAGCTTTCATCTGTTTCTAAATGTTTTAAATCAACCACCCATGCTAACAGACACCTGATAATCCATTTCTTCTCCTGGTGTCTCACAGCTGGAGAAGATGTTGGAGCCCCAGGTGTGGAGGGAGGCAGCCACCCAGGTGTTCTTCGCCCTGGGGCTGGGTTTTGGAGGAGTCATAGCTTTCTCCAGTTACAATAAGATAGACAACAACTGTCATTTTGATGCCGTGCTTGTTTCTTTCATCAACTTTTTCACCTCCATCCTGGCCACGCTGGTGGTATTTGCTGTGCTGGGTTTCAAGGCCAACATCATGAACGAAAAGTGTGTCCTAGAGTAAGTTTAACACCTGCTAAAGATGTTAACCTTTAGCATAAACGTATAAGTAAAAACAAAAATGCTAAACTTGGGTTTTACTATGTCAGCCACTTGTTTGTTTTGATTTACACAACATACAGGAAATCTAAAAAACATTACAGCAATAACGAGGTCACTGGATGTGTTTGATTACCCATTGTCTTCAAGTTCATCATATTAATTTGGCAAGCTAACATTTGCCACATAGCACTAAACACAAAGTACAGCTGAGACTCATGGGAATACTAGTTTTGATTGGACAAATTGAACATTTGATCTGACACCCATCACTCACACATCCTTGCATGAAATAGGTCATTTCATGTTATGTAGTTTAACTAAAACACACAGTTGTTTGCTAGTTATATGTAGTGTATAAATATAAATTTAATATAATCAATTCTAAATATTTACCAGTATCTTACAAGTTATTTGCATTAGGTGTTTGATGTCAGTTTGATGCGACTGTTAGCAAGTGAACCCAGGAACAGGGTCTGACAACCTGGTTGTATGTCAGCACTAATACCGTCTTTGGCTTTTCACATTTTTTTCTATCCTTTTACCTTTGTAGAAACACTGAGAAGATCCTGGGATACCTCAACTCTAATGTGCTGAGCCACGAACTCATCCCTCCACATGTGAACTTCTCTCATCTCACCACATCAGACTATGCTGAGATGTACGAGGTCATCAAGGCAGTCAAAGAGAGCAGCTTCGCCGAGCTGGGTCTGGAGCCTTGTGTCCTGGAGGATGAGCTCAACAAGGTAAGTCTTTAGCACAGTTTTCTGTAGCATATTCTGAATGTGATGCATCTTACCCCTGTCAGCCTGTTGCCTGACTTCTCTGGTCATATCTCTGCAGGCTGTCCAGGGCACTGGCCTGGCCTTTATTGCCTTCACAGAAGCCATGACCCATTTCCCAGCATCTCCATTCTGGTCGGTCATGTTCTTCTTCATGCTCATCAACCTCGGACTGGGCAGCATGATCGGCACCATGACAGGCATCACCACACCCGTTCTCGACGCCTACAAAGTCCAGAAGGAACTTTTCACAGGTAAACTTCCCCCATTCCTCAACTCAGGCCATGACATGCTTTAAACAGTAGAATCCCTTTACTAAACACTTTAGAAGCATTAAAGTACGTTTTGTAATGGTGCATTAGGCTTTGTTATATTGCTCTGAGTGTACTGAATGCAAACAGTAACAGGAAACTAAACAGCTCGGTGGCAATAAAACCATTTTACTTTCCATTTTCTCTTCTATCAGACCAAAAATCTTTATCTTTTTTATCTTTCCCTCTGAATTAGCCAATTTTTTTCTTCTTCTGTGTCTTTTCAGTGTGCTGCTGCATTGTGGCCTTCCTGTGTGGCTTGTTGTTTGTCCAGCGTTCAGGGAATTACTTTGTCACTATGTTTGATGATTATTCTGCTGGTCTGCCTCTCACCATAGTGGTCATCCTGGAAAATGTATCCGTTGCTTGGATTTATGGCACTAAAAGGTACAGTCTGTGCATGTGTGATTAATGACCATGTGAGAGAAGATTTTAACTTTCCTGTTGTTGTTTGTCCATCAGTTTCATGCAGGACCTGGAGGACATGTTGGGTTTCCGACCATGTTTAATCTATTTCTACCTGTGGAAGTATGTCTCTCCCTTCTGTCTCATTGTTCTCATCTCAGCCACTGTCATAGAGATGGCCATCAGCCCACCAGGATACAACGCCTGGGTTCAAGAGCTGGTCAGTCAGTCTCTGTTGATATGTGTGTGTGTGTGTGGTGCTAGCAAAAACATTTGATGAATACTAGCACCCATTTTGCAGCCGAGTGGTCCCTGTCAGTCTCATATTATTATATATCATATTATTTGATTTGATTTAAATACAGTACATGTGTAAATGAACATCTGTCTTTTATATTTTCCTGTCACACTGGTTTTATCTGGATTAAGGGTCAAAGGGTGGAAATAAATACAGATATATTTGTGATTTGCGGATATATAAACTCTCTGTGTGTCTGCAGGCTCAGGAACGTTTCCAGAGTTACCCTCCCTGGGCACTGGCCATGTGTTTCGCTCTTGTCATTGTGGCCATGCTTCCTCTCCCTGTTGTCTTTATCGCTCGTCACTTCAACCTGATGTCTGATGGCTCCAACAAGCTGTCTGTCTCCTACCGTAAATCCATAATGAAGGACATGTCCAACCTAGAGGAGCAGGATGAGACCAGATCCATCCTTGGCGCCAAGCCCGGCGAAGCACCATCATCAGTGCTTGCACGCAGAGCTTATCTCGCTCCTGGCGGGCACAAACCCCTGGACCCAAACTCCCTGTCTCCAAACAGCTGCTACGGTACAAGCTACCAAAACGCTGCCATCAGCCCCACCACGCCAACTACACCAACCTCGCCTGTCACACCGGAGTCTGACTCTTGACTGCTGTCCAAAGTCCTGTTGCGCAGTTTACCTGTCAAGCACAAAGTCTCCACCAGGGGTCACTGCAGCACCAAGAATCCCCACCACTGCCCTACTCGCCCCACAAAACTGTATGTAGCCACCTAATTTATCTGCCACACACTTCCCAAAATAACCCCAAGGAACCACCTGAGAATAAGTCCAAAATGTTTCCATGTATTAAATCTTTCAGATTTAATACAGCGAGCCTACTGTGTGAACAGTTCAGTGGCAGCAAGAGCCCAGTTTGATTACTTTAAGGTTTAAAACCTGCCATTCTTTGCGTTGCTGCCTGCCATTGCAACAATACTGCGTATCAAATCCGTATAGTATAACATAGATCAAGTTAATTCCATTAGTTATTATGCAATGATTTCAGTGTAATGTCTACACTGAACACTGATACGCACCCTGCTCTGACCTACAAAACACTTCTCATCATGTACATTTGTTTTTGCAGGACTGTATGCATTGTAAACTATTCTTAAAGTTTCTTCAAAGACACCAATTTGTTCCATTCAGACCCAAAATCAACGTCCTACCTTGTTTTGTGTCTAGCCAGTATTGTTCTTGTTCATTCTGTAAACAGCAATGTACAGTATAGTAGTGTAATATAGGATAATGTAGCTTTTGTTACCTGGAGGAGCTCAAAACCACAGTGTCATCATCCATCACACACACTGTATAACTATAGAAAATCGCTTGTTTTGGTTTCTCCACCAAAGAGTAAAATGTAGAAAGCAAAACACTTGAAACCTATATATTTACATGACAGAAAGAAATGCAGAATTGCAATGAATGTGAGCTAAATTCATAAGCCTGAAAGACAAGGCAGTCGTATTCTTCAGTGACACAAAGCACAACCTGACCATGTGAATTTGAAATGGCCAGTTTCTACAAAAAAGGCATTGCTACAAAAGCACAAAAAAGATTTTACACAATTATGGTGTACAGGTCTATTACTAAACCTAATTACTGACCTTTTATTTTGAACAATTATGCACACATGGAATAAAATTTTAAAAAACGCTGCCTTCAAATATGTCCTGCACGGTGAGTAAGCAGTATTTATTACAGTAAATACTGGAGCACAAACTATTAGAGCATGATGTTCACTATGGACCAAAAACATATGAACATGAAATAGAAAAAACAGCAATGGACCAAAAGATATAGCAACTTAATGAACAAAAATCCAAATAACAGAATAATAAACTCATCAGCTAACTTGATAGTATGAACTTTTGTAGGCCTTAAACTCCTTACATGCAGATACATGCACAAAGGAAATATGTGCATTCAAATGCTGAAACATCCAGAGTCTATGTGAAATAATTAACCTCTTCATGCAGAAAGTAATATTAACTCATGTCACGCCAGGGTTGCTTTGTGAAGAATGTCTTTGACTCCTGGTTAAACTGAGGCTAAACCAGCAGACTGTCTGAACAGGTCAGATTAAAACTGCATCTCTCGTGAACACTTCAGTTTTGTTCACACTGGTAGTGAATAGCTGTGACAACTGAGCACATTTACTGTACGTTCCTGCTGTATGGAAGATGACACATTTATTTATTTTTTTATCACGATATTCAATGCCATGATGTATACGATATAATGGACTATATTTATATTCCTGCATATTTGCAGTGTATGTAGGTGTGATGAATGACAAAGTTTTATCTTTTAAAAGTGACCAGTATATATTGATCTTATGCTTATCCTTATGCTTATTTAAATTGTATATTTAGAGTAATTTACAGTTTATGTAAGTCATTCTTGTTCTGGGATGTGAAAATGCTGCTGCAGGTTCAGGTATTGTATAATCTCAATGTAGCATTGTCAGAACTGTAGCCGGTCCTGTTGTCTTCATAGGAGCCGTGTGCTCATCTTAGTTGAGGTCCACTGATGTCTCCACTTTAAATGTACTGGTCAAATTGTTTTTAGCCACACTAGGAGTTTACCACAAAATACAGTGAAACATTTTTTACTTTAGTTCAGTTTTCACTTTAGTTCCTGACATGACCTTCAGCCTTTGCTGTACTTTCAAAAGTATGCTAATATAGCATGCTAACATGCTAAACAGGCTGGGTTTTTTTGCTAACTCTAGGAAAACAGACTAACATATTGAAAATTACATGCTAAACATGGCTGTTAAACAATGGTAACTGTTATACAGATTTTTAGCTACTAGCTAACTAACTAGTTTTCCAAAGCCCAGCTGAGCCTAATACCATGTTCACTTCAGAGCTGCCACATAGGCTGTATCTGAAAGCTCAGATATACCTGACTAGAAAGTACAAAGTCCATTGTTAAGGGTAACTAAACACTGAACGTTAATAGATATAATTCTATACTGAACAAACTGTTTTCTACAAAAGAGGATTGGGGCCACTGTAAAAAGTCTGAACTCATATTAACCTAACCCTAATCCTCAATCTGAGCTCAGTCTGAAGGTGTGTTCAGGAACACCTCAAGGCAATTTCTTTATATTTGGCACAAGTCTCCACTTGGTCTCAACAATGAACTAATTAGAGTTTGGTGGTCAAAGAGCGAACCTTCAACCTTCTGGTGGGGAGACGACTGCTTTACCCACCGCACCGCTGTCGCCTTTACAATGTAGAGCTGAGCCTGAAAAGCTGTTAAGGCACTTAGGTGACCTTTTTATTCTGGCACCACCTTCAGGCCAGACTTTACATTTCCCCCATTTCTTGTTCACCCATTAAGATAGTTGGTTTTCTGCTATGTAATGAGGGTTAACAGACTCCTAGGCCCACTGGTGTGGCTTTAAACATCAATGAACATCTCGTTTTGTTTCTTGTATTGTTTTAGTGTCATGGGCCAGGTACTTCCTGGTGAGAGTCTCGCTGTTTTAAGTCTGTAAATAATCTTGCGTGACAAAAAATTTTTCAAAAATAGTTTTTATTCATGTGAAGTATATCAGTGTCCTAAAAAGTAACTGTTTTAGCAGTAAATGTAACAAAGTAATAATGAACGTGATTGATGCACTTTCTCACTAGGACTGCAAATGTTGTCCTCATAGCAGTAAATACAAGGTTGGTGTAAAAGCAATATCCAGTCATTTAAACTGCAGAATAATTGTGGTTGAAAACAAAGCTTGACACCTGAGTGTCAGTTAATAGCAATGATTCAGAAGCACCCCTTGTAACCAAAGGGATGTTATGACTCTTCCTTAGTGCTGGAGTGTGTGTGTGTGTGTGTATGTGTGCACTGAATATTGATGTGTAGATTCCTTCTTACACCTGTAGGTGCAGGGCCTTACTAAGCACACATTTCAAGCACTGTCTGTACAGGAGACATTTTTAGAAATGTCCTTTTACAACTTCTTTCTTGTCAGTTACTGTATATTACAATTATAAAATATTGCCAGTTATTGTAAAATGAAATCAGTTATTGTAAAGTGAACATCACCAAAACTATTAATAATAAAGAGTAGACAAGCTGTTGTTGGATTTCTGGGTTTTCCTGGTTCAAATTAAGGCATAACTCTGTTAAGTAAAATATTAAGTTTTACTATGGAAATGTAATCATCACATGGTCACGAATGTCCTGCAGTGTGGCAGGGCATATCATCCTGCTGACAGAGGCCATTGCCATTAGAAAATACTGTTGCCATGGAGGGGTGTAATTGGTCTGCAACAATGTTTAGGTAGGTGGTTTGTGTCAAAGTAACACCCACGTGAATGCCAGGATGAAGGTTCCCCTCAGAACATCACCCAGAGCTTCACACTGTCGCCGCTGCTCATTATCTTCCTGGTGCCATATCTACTCCATGCACCTGGCCTTCCTCATGATGTAAACAAAAACATGATCCATCAGACCGGACCACCTTCTTTTATTGCTTCATGGTCCAGTTCTGATGCTCATGTGCCCATTGTAGACACTTTTGGCGTGGGATAGGGGTCAACGTGGTCACACTGACTAGTCTGCAACAATGTGATCTAACAGCCATAGCCACCAGTGCAGAGGGCCTTGAGGTAAACCAAAGGACCCCCCATAAAACTTCAATTTAGAGAAGAGTAGTGGTTTTCAACCAGTGGTCCACAGCCCCCTGGTGGTCCAAGGAGGCATTGCAAGTAGTCCCTGACCATGCATTCAATAATGTAGTTTGACTGAAGGAATGTTTTTTATTTGATTTTTTAAACATATTTACATGTACTACTTATTGTTTGTGAATAATCTAATTCATGCAAATATACAGTATGGAAAGTATTCAGACCCTTTTAAATTGCATACATTTTGTTATGTTTCAGATTCATCTTAAAATGGATTCATTTTCATTTTTGGCTTTGCGCCAACGCTCCCAATCCAACCTGGGTGACTTTGAACGATTCTGCCAAGAAGAATAAAAGAAAATTCCAAAAGACAGGGGCCAATCTTCCAGCTTTGTTCTTGAGAAAACTTGAGGCTATCATTACTGCCAAATGTGCTTTAACCAAGTATTAAGTGAAGGGTCTGACGACGTATGTAAATGGGATATGTTAGACTTTTATTTTTAATGCATTTTCAAAACACTCCAAAAACCTCTTTTCACTTTATCACTGTGGAGTAGTGTGTTTATGCTGATGGAAAAAAATGAATTGACTCCGTTTTAAGATGAGTCTGAAACATAACAAAATGTGGAAAACTTAATAATCTCCTTTATTTGGCGAAGTATGTTACACACAAGGAATTTGTTTCCCAGTACAGAACTGAGACAGCCATCTGTGGTGCTAACTCAACCGATGGCTCTAACCATCGGGGGCAACTTGGGGGTTCAGTGTTTTGCCCAAGGACACTTCGACTGCAGACATTGAGAATTGAACCTCTGACCCTCCGGTTGGGAGACGGCTGCTCTACCCAATGAACCAAAGTCGCTCCCCAACTTGGAAGTGGAGGCAGAATGCGTACCGTACCGTACCGTACCATACCATACCATACCAACTTTATTTATAAAGCACTACAACAACCAAGGTGGACCAAAGTGCTGTACATTGCAATAAACAATATATATTAAAAACACAACCCACAAGCACAAGCAAAATCAACACCAATATAAAAACATGAATCAATAAAAATAAATAAAATCAACGCCAAAATAAAAACATAAATCAATAAAATGAATAAAAACAACAGCAATATAAAATATCAAAACACCAACGAAAATAAATGAGTTGTTAAAAGGGACTTAAAAACAGACAGGGTAGAAGCTTGTCTAATGGACAGCGGTAAATCGTTCCAAAGTTTGGGACCAGCAACCGCAAAGGCCCTCTAAGCTTATGCTTTGTTCTAGGCACACTCAAAAGAAGTTGATTGGGTGACCTCAAAGAACATGTGGGTGTATGCCAGTGGAGCAAATCGGATAAGTAGGGTGGTGCAGAGCCATGAAGGGATTTAAAAACAAAAAGTAGAATTTTATAATGGACCCTAAAATAAACAGGTAACCAGTGCAGGGAAGCCAAAACTGGAGAGATGTGCTCATATTTTCTCGTGCCTGTTAAAAGACGTGCTGCAGCATTTTGGACCATCTGGAGGCGAGTGATGGAAGACTCACTAATCCCCAGATACAATGTGTTGCAGTAATCTATTCGGGAGGTGATAAAAGCATGAATTAGTGTCTCAAAGTGATGCCTAGAGACCATTGATTTTACTCTGGCCATCTGTCTTAATTGAAAAAAACTAGATTTAACGACAGCTGCAATTTGGCCGTCAAATTTCAGGTCAGAGTCCATTTTTACACCCAGACTTGAAATATTTTTCTTATTGTATCGATCCAAAAAGCCCAAATCAATAGAGGGTGACCGAGCAGAATCACCAAACACCATCACCTCAGTCTACTCCTCATTCAGCTTCAAAAAATTAAAAGCAAGCCAAGATTTAATGTCATCTAAGCATTCAAGCAGTGTCTTCACACAAGAATTCGCCTTTTTAACCGGCAGATAAAGCTGGCAATCATCTGCATAAAAATGAAAGGAGATGCCGTGTTTCCTAAGTATAGAGCTGAGTGGGAGAAGGTAAAGGGAAAAAAGAAGGGGTCTAAGAACTGAGCCCTGTGGAACCCCATACAAAAGGGGCTCAGAAGAAGACACAGCATCCCCAAGTTTCACACAAAAGGCTCGATCCTTAAGATAAGACCGAAACCATTCTAGGGCTATACCTCGAATGCTCACCCAGTGCTCTAAACGAGAAATAAGGATATTGTGATCCACTGTATCAAAAGCGGCAGTCAAGTCTAGGAGCACCATGACTACGCAATTCCCTAAATCAGTTGCAAGAAAAATATCATTTAAAACTTTCACCAAAACTGACTGTGCAGGGTTTTAAACCTGATTGAAAAATCTCAAAAAATTTATGCTCATTTAAAAAGGCCAGTAACTGAGTGTAAACTATCTTTTCAAGGATTTTGGAAAGGAATGGTAAATTTGAAATGGGCCTAAGAGCACTGTGGGATCCAGACCAGGTTTCCTAATCAGTGGCTGCACCACAGCATGTTTAAACTCCCTAGGAACCAGCCCAGAAGATAAGATACTATTAATAATAGAAAGGACAAAAGGCCCCACAACTGGAAAAACCTCCTTTAAAAATCGAGAAGGAATAGCATCTTTTGGAGAGCCAGAGGGACTCAATCGCCCAACATAACATTATTATAACATTTAGAAAAGCCCAGATGACTTTGTGGATTAAAATAGTGCCCATTCAGTTTATCTACCACATGACACTGGTCTTCAGATTGCTTCTTAGTCAGAATGGTCACAATCTGATGAAAACCCATATACAGTGGGGCAAAAAAGTATTTAGTCAGCCACCAATTGTGCAAGTTCTCCCACTTAAAAAGATGAGAGAGGCCTGTAATTTACATCATAGGTATACTTCAACTATGAGAGACAGAATGAGAAAAACAAATCCAGAAAATCACATTGTCTGATTTTTAAAGAATTTATTTGCAAATTATGGTGGAAAATAAGTATTTGGTCAATACCAACAGTTCATCTCAATACTTTGTTATATACCCTTTGTTGGAAATGACAGAGGTCAAACGTTTTCTGTAAGTCTTCACAATTGGTGGCTGACTAAATACTTTTTTGCCCCACTGTATAGCACTAAGGATGGGTCTATTCCACTTTTCACCTTATCTTTGTCACATACGAGACTGGTAACTCTGAAAAAGTGTGTCCCCCAACACAGTCCAGTATCCACAAACATGTAAATGAAAATATATATATATATGTATATATGTATAAATCTAAGCAAACGGGGCACCAGAGTAGTCTGCTGTGTATTGTGTTATGTAACCCCACATGTAACAAAGCCTCAAGAAAGATTACAAAAAGGAGGAAGTTGACTTATAAATCTGTGTGATACGTGCTGTCACACTCAAGAAGTTCTCGTTTTAAGTTAATTTCCCTTAAATTGTTACAAGCTGTCTATGAACCTCTGCCCTGTGTCAGATCACAGATCCTGATGCAACCTTTCTCTCCGAGCCAGAAGCCTGGATACAGTGGCTCTGTGAATTTGGCCTCAGTCTTGTAAAGAAAGATCATACTGTCTGAGTCTGATACCTCGTAAAATGACACTGTTCCCTCTTTGAACTTAAGATAAACCCCAATCCTGTCATGACAGGGGTCTTCTGTGAGCTCAACGCTTTTACCACTGTGACTCACAGAGTATTTTGTGGACCGATCAAGACTCCATGAATTTGCATTGGCCCCAAAAGCCGACAACCTAGTGCTAGATCTTCTGTCTATTCTTTTGTAAGTGAGGGCAATCTCTGCTTTGTCCCCCTCCACCTCTATCTCATAGTAGCAGCGCTCGACCTGCAATCCCTCCCTGCAAAGCACCTGCCGCCGACGGATAAACCTCTCTGGGCAATGATTACTTGGGCTCTTAAATGTCTGAGGGCTCAGCTTCACCTCTTTGTCTCCTTCAGAAATGACCAGGTCCTCGTTAGCCGTGGCGGGGTCCAAGGTGAGCTCACATGCATCTGAGACCATGATATGAAGATAAAAATAGCACTTTAATGATACAGCTGATCAGTTATGGTTGGAAAAAAGCACTATAGGTTGGCTGTGTGTGTGTGTGTGATAAACTCACACTGCAGGAACTCTGCTCTGGTTTTAGGCTCCTCATTCTGACCAACCGGAGTGCCGATCACTCCAGGAGGACCTAGGAGACAACATCAGAGCATCAGTAGGTGTCACTGCTGATGACGCAGCCAGCATTTCAAAGAATCATAGCAGGAAAAGCGTTACTAATGACATCAATGGTGTTTCCGTTCCATGAAGTCTCCCAGTAATGACAGTGAGCCAAGGGCAATATCAAGACCCTGAAGGTGCCTCTTTATACCATAAAGAATCACTTCACCCAAATTACAAAAAACACCACCAACAAACTAGAAACTCTGCTGATAGTTATGGTTTTCAGATATCACTGAGATTTCTCCACTCCAGTTCAGCAGAGGAGGATCATGATTTCATTTGTCGTTCACAACACTGAAAACATAATCATTAAAAAAATTCAACAGCCAAGTGTCTCGTTATGATCTGCACGGTGCAAAATGATTCTATTTGTTATTACTGTCTCTTGTTATTTTTTTTCTGACCCTTCAAAACCACTATGAAGTTATTCTTGATTAAATTAAGATATTCAATGATTAGCATTCCGCTGTGACTGCACAACAAATGGCTTTTTCCAGAAGAACAATTAAGTAATTATGAGAAATTCTGTAAAACAGCACTCCAGAACGAACTGCAAAATGCTCTATATCAGAAATAAATAACATAATTATTGGTGTACCCCTTAATATTAATCATGGAAAAACAAAACAGCATAACTCACTGTGTATAATGGCACAAATTAACATGCAAAACAAAATATAAATTATCAGGCATATCCCAGATAAGTCTATTCCAGACTGTGTTCAAAAAGCCATCACATTTATTCTGAATTCTATTGCTAACATATGAATATACATATTAATTTCCCTGACATATAAAATTACTTACATATAACCCTTGGAATAAGTGTAATGGTGTGAGGTTTGAGGTCTTTTGTGGCTAATTGTGCTGTTTTTGATGAGTTATGACTGTGTGGAAGGTTTTCTATGTAAGTGGTACTACAACACAGGAGTGAATCAACCAGTCCAGGGCTGTTTGCCTACAGTTTCTATTTTTACCCACAAGTTGTTGCACATTTCAGGTTTTATCTTTAATGGGATTATGTATATTTTTCTGCATTGTAATGACATTTGTTTCTACTGTTTTTCAAGACATTTCATAAGATGATACAATTGCATTAATCCACAGCAGCTTTTTAATGTAATATCTCAAAGATGTTTATAGCAGTTCAAAATACACACCACAGGACTGTGAGATACTCGCTTCACATTCTTGCTGCATGCCATCCTCCTCTGTCTCGCCCACTGATTCCTGTTGCTCTCCACCATCAGATAGAATAAATACAAGCACAAATATTCTTTGAAAAAAACTAAAGGTACATACCAATTTGAGAGATTGAGGGGAATTCTTTGTCACAAAATTCTTCCAGCTGCTTCCCGAATTTTTCAACAGCTCTCTTTGTAAACTCAAAGGGGAGGGGTGGAGCCTCTAAAACCTCTTCTCCACCGTCTTCTTCAAAGAGGCGCTGTAGCGAGGGCCACTCCTGTGAGGAAATAGGATATCGTTTATCATTTAGACACAGGTAAAGCTTTGTTGTGGATTTTCTTCAGCCTTCTATAACTTTTGCAAAACATCCACCAACAGATTTGAAGGAGTTTTATACACAGTACCTGCAAGAAATGGATGTCGCTTTCAGTCTGTGCCAGACGATCCAGCTCAGTGTCCCTCTTCTTGACCCTCTCCATCTTGGCTTCCAGGGTCTGCAAGGAGATGGTGACCTGAGCTGCTGCCACCTGCTTCTGTTCTCCAATCAGCCTCTTCACTGACAGGTAACGATCCTGGAGGGACTCGATCCCACCAACTATGATGCTTTCACAGTAGTTGTCTGTTTTTTCCGCCTCCTCCTGTTTTACACACAGTTCAGTAGAATCTGTATCTGTTCATACTCAGGACTGGGATGTAGAGCACAAACTATATGAAGACACCCAGTTCAGGTGTCCTCCTCACCTCAATCTGTTCCAGGATGCTCTTCCATTTCTTTTCTTGTTTCTCGAGAAGCTGCCTGGATTCTGTTTGTATGCCCGCCAGCTCCTCCTTTAATGTGTGTTGAATGGACATACACATTATTTATTTGCATTTGTGAAACTGGTTTAGTAACATTCTAGTAAGACTCAAAACAAAGTGACACCCTAAAATGACACCCTTTGCTCCTCCAGTCACATTCTGCTTCCTTGTGAAGAAGTAAATTGTGAATGCCTAGATGCCACAAACTGCACAAAACACAATTTCTGGCCACTCTGGTCTGGCAACCTCTGTTTCAGACTTTTAGCTTCCAACAGGTCCTCCTTGGCTGGGTGTTTGAAACAACTACTCATGGTAAAAAACAAAAAACATTGTGCATACCCTTCATTAGTGTGGTGCAGTGGCTAGCACTATTGCCTCACAGCAAGAAGGATCTGGTTTCATGCCCAGGCTGATCCAGGCTGAGTTTGCATATGTATGCATATGTATACTGTATATATATATAAAAAAAAAACTGGCACCCTCTGAGATGTTGATTAGAGTTGACAGATGTGATGTGTGTGTGTGTGTGTGTGTGTGTGAGAGAGAGAGAGAGAGAGAGAGAGAGTAGCGTGCTGGGGGAAGCGCCATACTGTCCACACACAGGACATGCCACACAGATGGACAGTGATGTGTCCAGAGGGTGAGGACTGTAGTGAGGTGTCGTTCACGAATGATTCATTAATTTTGAACGAATCTTTCCCATGACTCGAGAACATCGGGTCATCTCGGGGAGTGATTCGTTGATTTTGAGTTGACCGCGCATGCGCAACATGGCATAAGATTTTACACCTTTCGAGTCGTTCATTTTTGTAACCTCACACGACCGCTTTGTTGGATACAGAAATTAGTTAATTTTCAACCGTTCTTACATTTTTTTTTTACTCTTACTGTTACGTGATACATTTCTTTTTATTATAAAAAAGCTTTTTGTTTCCTACAGACTATAACTTTGTGAATATCTGTCAATATGGTTCTTTTCCATAACACTGAATGTTTTAATAAAGAGTTGGTTAATGCTTTAAACTTCATCAGTATATTTCTTTATACTATACAGAAGACAGCACGGCTTAGCTTAGTTTAGGATGTTAGTGACAAAAGACCAAACGAATTTAAATATCTGGAGGTGAGGTGATGAAGTAACAGACTGCATAGCCTTAAGACACAGGTATGATATTACTTATAATATGACCTTGGCTGCATTACAGTTCTTTCTTATTCGAAACGTGATCAATATGTGCGTAAGTAGGTGGGGAATTAACATGTAACATTTTAATTACATTCTGCTGAAGTGAACGAAATGACTCGAAAAAGGATTCGTTCATTTTGCTGAACGAGATTCAAAGAACAGAATCAGTAAAATGATCCGAACTTCCCATCACTAGGGGACTGCAGCTGTTTCAGGTGTCCTGAGGCAGGAAACTTTGGGTTGGCGGGTTAAGTTTCCGGTTCGCGGGTTCTTTTGGAGGGAAAACTCGTGTATATCAGTTCTGATGTTCAGTGTGGTGTGAATTTGTTGGGTGAAGAAAAGCAGTGACTATAAACTTGGCAGACGGAATCCAGTGTCAAGGGCAGAACCCCTTGAGTCCACTAGCTGTCTCTCTCTCTCTGACATATATATGTACATATATGAATTTAGTAGCCTCCTGCCTACTTCGAGGTATTTCTTTGGGTTTCTATTACCTGTTTCCTCTTCCGTTCATCTTCAATAGACACAATTTCGTGTCCGCCATGCTCCGCTGAAGCGCAGGTTAGGCAGAAGATCGTCTCATCAGTGCGACAGTAAGCATCCAAAGGCCTGTTGTGTCTCGGACACAGGGTCTTTTCTGATGTCTCTGTCTCTGAACATGTCCGGGGCCTCTTCCTCTTCTCTCTGCCATTAGAATCCCTTTGCGTGTCTGTCACTAAATTGGCTAGAGTTGTGTTCAGGATTAGCTGAGGTCTGGAGGGAAAACTATGACCACATTCAGGGCATTTACGGGGACGTTTCTGCCTTTGGTCTTGATCCCAACGGTCCTGGATGCACCGCATGCAGAAGTTGTGTCCGCACGGAACGGTCGCAGGGTCCCTGAGGACCTGCTGGCAGATTCGACAGCGGAGGTGGTTCATACTCACTGGGATACGAGCCTCTGCCATGTCTACTCGGGGTGGACATTCGGGTTTGTTTTGTTTTCAGTCTTAATGTCACATAGGAAATGGGTGTGACTCGATTTAGAGGAGGAACAACGAGCACTTCAGGAATCTAATGTAACAAATGGCTGCTCACTGCTGAGTCTGGTACAGGTACAGTTTATGAAATGTAAACTGTAAAACTGTTTAAACAAAGTCCAAAACAAACTAAAAGAACACACCTAGCAATAAGAATAATATTAGTGGTAGTATCCCTGCTACCTTATCAAATAAAGGCAAACACGCCACAAGAATCATCTTAAAAATAAACTCAACATGAACGACAGTATAGTTTTATTACAGTATTTCTCCATTTAAAACAGATCAATGATAAATATTTTTCACAATTTACATGTATTCTCAATTTCTTAGCCTTTATAATAAGACACAAAAAACAATTCTGATAAGTAGAAAATTCAGAGGAAAATAGTTGTGGAACTGGCAATTTTACTCCCACCAGAGTTATCTGCTTCATTTCATAGCTCCACTGTGATGCTCAGAACAATGCAAATAGCACTGAAATATTTGCAAATGCAACAGAACATTAAAGGGTGACTCAGGTAAACAGATGTTTATCCCATTGAGGTAATGACAAAAAGTAATAGATAAGGAACTAATGACCTTGAAACCACTACTACCCTATTCCTCTCTACTTAAAAGAAGAGCCCA